CAACTAGTGATGTGCCGCGTACAGTACTACACGTACTGTACGCACGTACTGTACGTACTGTACGCGAAAATTTTTGCAATAGGAAATAGCCAAATTTAATTTTTGTTATGAGCCAAGAGGTAGTTTATAGTATTGCGTATTTTTATTAACTATTATGATATACAGTAATGGTGGTATGATTTTATAGATTTGAAATTTTTCAGTTCCATATAATAATGAAAAGCCAATTAAAAATATTTATTAGCAAGTCAACACCACGCATAAAAAAATACAATTAGAAAGTAGAACTTTTAGAATTTGCAATTATATTATCCCTGTAATAAAAATATTGATATTCCATAATAAATCAAAACTTGATATAAAATAAATTACTGTAATTAAGTGAATATTTGTACCATGTATTTCCTAGTAAATATTGATCCTTTTGCCAGTGCATCTAATTTATAATTATAGTAGTTTAGATGGTTTCTTTTTTAGTAGTCCACCTCTCACAAGACCCAATTTTAAAAATTTTCGTAGTACGCGGCTGAACTATATTTCAAAAGGGAAGTTGTCAAAAGAGCATAAACATTTTTATATCTACACAATGATCTATTTAGATGGTTTAAAAAAAATCTACACTTGATAATAAAGGTCTATTGTTCGCGGGAACTCGACTATTTACGATATACTGTATATTACATATATTAAAGTTTTTTTTTTATTTATACACGAACGAAAAAAAAAACTCATTTTTCGCATATATTATCCAATCTCATCTTTTACATTTACGGATTAATTAGATAATTTTAAGTTTCTTCAAATAATATTTCAAATTTATAACTTTCTCAATTTAGTCTAAGCAATAAATAATAATAATAATAAATAATTTTGTGAAACGGCTTTTAAAATAGATTTAAAGTTAAATTAAAATTAAAATTTGCATTACATGAAGTTTTTATAAATTTGCCAAATTGCTTTCATTTCCAACGCTGAATTTCGCTAATGAAAACCTTTAACATATGCAAGGCGTATTGCACAAAATCTATTGCCAAATACCAGAATTTCCGGTTGGTTAAAATAAGCTTCCGGTAAATTGTTTTTCAAATTATGCTAACATCTTTCAAAAATATTTTTATACAATAATTTAATCTAGTTGGTATTTAGGAATTTTTTATCTAAACTCCGTGACGCCGAAACTATAAATGTTTTGTATAATAATTAATTATTTCCTTTTGCATTTTTTGTAATGTTGCGTGTTCAATTTTTTTTTTTTTTTAAAACCTTTGGCGATGTCGTCACATAACGCCATTGGCATCAAATATTATATAAATTCGTGCCTTTAGATATTATGAATTTGTATGGACCTGAAAAAGTTTACATTTTCGCTTAAGATAAAGATATTTAGGTACGTGAAATGTCCATTAAATTTGATACTAACTTGTAATGATTGGCACGACATTGCCAAAAATAATGATGCAAAAGCAGAATGGGTTATTTGCAACTACGGAAGGGCACATTCACTTTTTCATGCTGTGAGATTAGGTCCATCATTCATTGATCAAACCGTTGCACACGCTATTATTACGAAGGGTGGAATTCTTACGCGATATTTTATGCAAAGACTTCTCGTTAACTACGGAAGCTACGATATAAAATTAATAGAATTAAAAATTACGCATAATGTCAAACAAATCGACGCTGAACAGATTAAAGCACTTCAAAAGAAAGCGCGTGTTCCATGGGCTAGTGATTTACCGTTACCGGTCTTTACATATTTCTTAACGGTGGCACAAACAAAATTTAAACCGCAAGAACTTTATTTAAAAGGAAACGATATGGAACTATTCCATTTTTTTTCCGCGGGACCACATGTAATAAAAGATGCTCCGAATATTTTACAAAAAAATATGGGTTCCATTGAAGACTTAATACTTCACAAAAAATTTATCCCGTTTCCTCCTAGACCTTCTAGAAAATTTACGGACCTCTGCACGCCACCTAATATTCCGGAAGAATATCCTTCTAAAGATGGGTATGAAAATAATAGGCAGCTTAACGTGATTGCACGTGCAATCTTAATTTGTAAAAACTTGGTCTCTTTGTGGAAAAAAATAGGTTATCACGAAATATGTGGTGACGTAAATGACCTCGTGATTCAGGGACAGTGTCTCTTATTTTTTCCTCCAAATTTTTCGGCTGAATGGACTTTACCAGATATTAGCACGATTAATAAACGGTTCACCGAATTAATTAATGTTGGTTTTCATCTAAGTTATAATTTAATTGGCAAAATTTTATATTTGTTTGAAGATAGATTAGAAGATATTGGTAAAATTTTAGTAGAATCTTTTATATATATCAAACAAGATAACCGAGAAAACTTTTTAAATCAATGTATAATTGAATCATTAAGATCCGAACATTGTTCAAGCAAACATCAAGTTTGGAATTTCCTTTATTCAATCGTGCAAAATCCTGAATTCGAATTTATTAAAGCATTTAATCACTATTTAAGAAAAAACGAAAATTTTATAATTAATTCTGAAATTAAAAAACTCTTATTACCATCAAAATTTTATATTTGGGTTCTTAAAAAATTTGGCACAGATGCACAAATTACAAAACTTTGTTTTGAAGATATATTAAAAGCACGTGTTAGCATAGATAAAGAACAACAAAGCAATATCAATATTAACGTAGATATACCTAGAGGAATAAACCAACATGTATATCATTCAATATGCAACATTTTTAAAGTTTATTGCAACGCCAAAAATTTTTATCAACCATCACATTTAGATATAATATCTCTATGCACTAGTACAGATATTCTAGCTCCATTATTTAGGTATTATTTACCTGATTTATTTAATATTGAAATAACATTTCAGTTGCCAATGCAAACTGTTGAAGATATAGATGACATTGATAACGACGATGAACAAATATTTCCAAAATCAACAACTAAGAAAAAAAGAAAAAAACAAATATTAAACCAATGGGATCAATCATTATGCAGTATTTCTGCAAATAATAATGGCAGGACAACAAATTCTTTTCGTAACTATCTCCATGAATTCCTATATGAAAAGTTACCTAATTCGGATTTTGCTCATAAAAAAAGCAGAATTCTATATTAAGTAATCAAAATGGTATTGTTAACATTTTATTATTTAATTAAAAAAAATTACAAATTTAAACGTATTAAGGGCGTTCTCAAGCACCTCTCTCAATAAATTCGATAAAGAATCTATTGTCTTGTTTTATCAAATAGGCCAATCAGATCCTTTATCAAATTCATTCAGGGAGGTGCTTAAGAACGCCTGAAGTCTAATAAAATTGAATAGTTACACAAAATTTAAACTTTAATTATTATGTTTGAATCATTTCAGTACCATTAAAATTAATCCCATTGAGATTATTATAATAATTTTAATGATATTAAATCATCTAAATTTAATTATTAAATTACTGACTACAATTTAATGTATAACTTATTTGAATTTATTAGACTGAAAATAAGGTAAAGGAATTATTATGGTTAATAATTATGAGATAGAATCAATGTCTAAAAAAATTAAATTTTTACTGGAAATTATTCCCTGACCAACCCCATCCACATAACTTTTTTCATGTACTTATTTCTACTAACAAACGTCATCAACTTATTTTTACTGGTACACGTCATAAGTTATTAATTTCTAGACCAGTAAAAATAAGTTAACGACGTTTATCAGTAGAAATCAAGTACATGAAAAAGTTATGTGGATAGCAGGTTATATCCTGAGTTGTTGGGTAAAGTGAAATTTTGGTGTAAAGCATAATAACGTAGTTTGGCTGCTTACGCAACCAATCTACTTCATTATACTTTATACCAAAATCTCGCTTAGATCCAACTACCCAGAAAATAACTATTACATATATTGAAATTTTGTATATACGATATATTCAGTTAGTTACTAGGTAATAACAAAATAGTCTCCAGTAAAAACTATCTTTATTCAACTAGTGAATAGTTTGAAATAATATATTTCTACCCACTAAATTATATTAATTTCGCCATAATATTTAGTGATGTGCGTTTAAGTTATATGATACCTAAATTTTTTTATTTCTGCGTAATGTACAAGATATACAGTATACATAGCACGTATAACTCGTTTCCAGCATCTAATGGATTGGTAGAAATGTTTTGCAAAAATTTCAACGTATATACTGTACGCAACACATCACTAAAAATATCCTTTTTACCTTATATAATAATACTACTATATACAATATAATTTACTAATTGGTTATTGTATATCAAGGACAATAAGTAAGTTTTTGATATGAATTTATTTTATACTAACCTTACAAGAAAATACTGCGCAGAATAATAGCAATGCACGGAAATTTTGACACGAGACCACACCAACCTACACGTAAATATATGGGCAGTGTGAAACATTCTCACATAACTACACGTCCAAATATGTGAAAAGGTATGGAATTCGTGCAAACACTGTAAGTATTGATTTTCACATTATATTAATTCCTATATACAGTATATTTACATGTAATAACGTGTGTTTTTACATTTTTTTTCGCAATTTATTGCGTGTTTAAACTGCATTGTAATGATTAGATTTGTGTAAAGTATCCGTGCAATTATTGAAATACGTGTTTAATTCATAACAATTCTATATGAATACACGTTTTTTTCTGTGTACTAATTCTTGTGAGTATTAAAAAATTCATCAAAAATGAACATTTATGATAAATTTATTATGAAAATTATGAAAATAGTATGTTTTTTATATGATAAAATTACTTTGAAATATTATAAACTTAAAAAAA